ATAAGATCCCTGAAGTTGCAAAGACTAAAGTCTCAAACCCAAAGAGATATTCTTTATAAAAGTTAAGACTGGTCCACGCCCTCCTAAAACGCCTTGTTTAAACACACCCCCACGTCTACGTCACTGTGTGGCAAGATTTGCATAAAACTGCCCAAATGTATACGCAAAGAAAGAAGGCGTAACTTTGATTCTCGCTGTAGTATTGTTGCCGCTGCCTCCTTATCGTGGAGACGCTGTGTTTCATTGTGAAAGCGAAAATACTTTGTTTGGTCTTCCAAAAGAGGACACGACTATAAATCAGTGGTTAAGTTGTATTTACAACACTGTTTCAGAACAGTTCAACCCAAATATTCAGATGTGTGCAGCGCATTTTACGGAGGACGAGGACTGTTTCCTGAACCTGGGAGAGTAGCCTACAATGCGTCTGTGCTCAAAGGTTTGTTTGTCGTTTCTCCGATCAGAAATGCAGACATGGTTTTATGTTGACATGGCGTGAAACGCAACACGTAAAAAGACAGTACAAGTCATTAAAATCCGTAATTATGTCCCCTGGATGCAACAAATGCCTCATTTGTAATGGGTTTTGTCTCGTCGTGCTGGGACACGGCATCACAGTATGGTAAGGGGTGTAACATTTCCGTCACACGCTTGAGATATTCGGCCAATCACAATGCACTGGATAGCTAGCTGGCCAGCCAGAGCACACCTCGCTTTTCAGACGGATGAGCTTTGTAAAAATCGATGCGTTTCAGAAAGGCGGGGCATAGAGGAGCAACAATAATGTACAGTATGTGGAAAATAATGTTTTTTTTTAACCTTAAACCCCACAAACACATTGCATTACATCAAATTCACAAAATAATGTTCTTTTTAGCAACGTCATATGACCCCTTTAATCCTTTTGACCATGTTTAAATTCATTCTGCTGTTTTTTTCCTCAAAATCAGATAAGAAAATGGACACGAGTCGGCAGATTACATCTGGGTGTGGTGATGTAGTGGTTGAAGCTCAGGGTTTCCACTTTCATGGAGAACCTAGAAATTTTAAGGAACTTCAAGTGTTTTACAAACCTGTCTTGAAATTCATGAAAACTCTGAAATATTTAATTAGCTAGATATTGTTCTTGTGTAAATTAAAACTAGCTTGGAAGTCAGTGATTCGTGATGAATTGTCTGGTCTTTCCCATTAGTTGGTTAAACTGGTTCACAGATTGGTTCAAATGATTGGTTAAAGCAGAGGGAACCTTGGGAAGATGTCTTATTCAGCCTCTTCAGTGTTATTATAGTTAACATAAAAAAAGTTACTTGAAATGTTAACTCATATTTTTCATCTGATTGCCAAGGCAACATTTCTCATTTTTATTTAGTTTAACTTGGAAAAAAAAAACCCTGAAATTAAAATGAATAAAAAAGTTATATAGACATAAATAAATCTAATAAAGATGGCAAAAACACACAACAAAATTACTAAAAATATAACTAATTAAAATTAAAGAGTTAAAAATGAAAAATATAAATATATTAAAAATAAAAAATAATAAATGACATTAATAAAACTGTAATAGTATTTCTGTCATACGAAAATAACACTGGATATTTGATCCATCACTGTTGTGCACTTGAGTAGACATTTAACGACTGCAAGTTATTGTGCTTATATTAAGTGTTCTGTAAGTCACTTTAGATAAAAGCATGTGCTAATGAAATTAGTTTTATAGATCAGTCAATAATAAGCTAGTAGTGTTATATGTGAGTGTATTTTGTAGGGATGCTCCGATCTGCCTTTTTTGCCTCCGATACCAATTCCGATACCTAGGGTATATAATGTTTGTAAAATGGTACAGCTTTTTAAATATCTGAAAGTACACTCTTAATATCAGTCAGTCAAGCATTATAATATGATAATCAAGTATTATTTAATAATAGAAGTTTAGTAATTAGAATTAAAACTTGGTAACCATGAACTTAGGACTGGTGCTGGTGATTTTTTTTGGTCATTCAGTCTTCCTGTAAAAAAAAAAACTAACAATAACACTGATAAGATATTATTATTATTATACGAATTCTACTAATAAGAACAATATAAAAACGCACTAAGGGCTCACATTAAGCTATCGTATGGCTTCAGAAGTAACACAGAATAATTCGCACAATCGGAAAAAAAAAAGAAAAAAAAAATCTCGGATTTGGGTCGGCTCTCTCTGACCGATACCCGATCCGAGAAAAATGGCATGATATGAATATCGGATCGGCGCATCCCTAGTATTTTGTTTTTTTGATGTATTAATGACCGTCAGCACGTCCACTTGAAGACTGCAGAATCGGACGGGATACATGAGAATCTCTCTCAGCTCTCCTGTCCTTCAACAAACCGCATCCCTGCTGGTTTAATTAAGACCTAAAAGCACAAGCTGCTGAGATCTGTTCTCATGCCAGACATCATTCCTCTCTCTGTCTGTCTATGTTGGGAGTGAGTGTCCGCACCTCTTTCATTCAGCCTTGTGTCTGTAGAGAACTAAAAAATTACTTTTGAAATTTTATTTTATTTTAATTAATTATTTTTGTTTTATTTCTGAATTAATTTATTCTATTTTAATGTATTACATTTTATTTTATTTTGAACAACAGTACATTAGAAAAAAGACATCCACAGGTTTGCTAATAAAAGCACTAACTTTCTCTGAGCTGTAGCTGTAATCAAGTTGAAATGCTGCCAGTAAGTACACAGATTACACTCCATTATAGCTGACAGTGTGTTGAATTGCTTTATGTGTGTGTGTGGTAATAAACTTAATTAAGCCGAACACCAACTCACACACATGCCAATGTCTAAAGGACACTGGAGCATTTCTGGCTGGACTTGATGAACTCTCACAAGACTCACAATCACATGCAGTCACTCAGAGACACAAGCTCTGATTCCTCACAAATGAGTTAGTCTGAAGTTTCTGTAGATACGTATCTATGTTCCATCTAGATAATAATTTTTTTGGTTGATACAAACAGAAGATGCTGCTGTATAAACACCAAACGTCCATTCCAAATTCTATAGTTCCTATTCTACATTAGAATTTTTTTCCCCCTGAAGTCCAATTATAGTAATAGTAATGGTTTCTT